GGCTTTCGGGGCCAGGAATCATTTCGGTGGAAAGCCGATCATCTGCGGTACGCAGCCTGATTTGGATGGGATACGTATCCTGTTCGGCTTCGGAAACCTTTATCGTATATCTTTGGAGGACTCTGCTCAAAATATCATTCTCCTTTATCCAAGCTACCTGGTGCTTCGCGGAGTCGCCGGCGGAATCTTGAGGCTCGATCTTGCGAGCAGATTCGTGGATAACAAGGACTGGAATGAGCTTGCTTCGATGATGCTGGCTTACGACCTCTTGAAGTCACCGACTGAGACGATTCAGAGGAGAACTATGAGAATAGTCGGGAGGCTCCTGGAGCAAAGATTCAATTGCTGCAGGAACAAGCGGAAGGCAGCAACCCGAGAATTCCAGAAATACCTTGCTACTTTCGAACCAGAAGACCGAGAGCGAGCAGCAGGGGATAATTTCCCGATAAAATTTCTGTTGATCGCGTACTGCCTCTGCTGTGTCTGTCTCTTAGCCGAGGTCGCGCTCCACTCTGCCGGTCGCATTTTCACGGAGAAACGACCGGGACGAGTTCATACCTCACATCGCCACATCTCCCGTTCATGGCGTCGAATTCGACAACGTCCCTCCTGGAGCGCTCCACGATAGCTCCATGACACAAGAATCATACGAGAGCCGGCATCGCAAGCGACTGAGTGCATCGCTCTGTCCCATGTGCGATTGACGGGGAAGAGACGGACTGGCTTCGATTCTTTGTTGCATATAAACTAGTCGGAGCTCGATTATGCGTATCCAATCGCCAGAGCCTGGTTTGTTCCATCGAGAGTACCTTGATCGAGCGCGACGGAGGGGAGGTTCAAGTTAAAGGAGAGCGGACCAAGATCGATGCGAAGACCGAGGCGGTTATCCGAAAATGTTCCCGGACAAAAAAAGTGTTCATGGCTTTCCCACCTACGGGTCAGGCTGCTGTCTACGATATACGAATCGCGATGCAGGATTGTCGTCAGCTTTCTGCTGAAGGTTCTTCACAGTTATGAGACGAGGATGAGAACATTGGATGAGGTCATTCATATCGCCAACGTTCAACCCATGATTCAGCGATTGATGAATGTCGGTGGAGAAAAATTGAGCAGGTTCAACAATGAGCCAAGCCAATGTTTGCGTAGAACTACGTCGATTCGATTGAAGGGACAGAATTACAATCAGCTAGCCGTGGCTAAAGTTCTTGTTCAAAGAATTGAATCAAACCGAAAAGCTACCGCACCGTCACGTGCAGCTGTGAAGAATATTCGTCACGCGCGTCGGTCGCGTGCGCTCACGCGCTCCCCCTTGCTATCAGAAGATCGAAACAATCACAAGTTGATCTGAATCCAAAACTTCGTCTCATCATGATCATGATTTCCCTCTGAATGAAAAACTGAAATAGTCCACAACCTCGCTGTGGTGACTGGTGACGCGGCCAAGGTCAGGAGGTGTCGGCTCCGATTCCCGAAGTCGGCCCTTGCTCTTTTCAAGGTCCTCGATCATGACAAGGCCGGTAACTATGAATAGAGTTCGAGGTGTCGATGGAGGCAATTCCGCTTTTTCCCTCGATTCCTAGTGCGTCATAGCAGCCAATATGACAGCACGGACACACTAGCAAGCTGCAATGTAATGATTCTACCCCCATTCCGTCAAATGTTAGCCACGGATTCGATCGACGATGGCGACATAATGCGACGAAGCTCATTATGACAACTTGAATCCAGTGCGAATAATGTACCTTTCCCGTGCCGTGATTCCAATCCCTCCGCCCGATGATGATGTTTCTCGAATTTCGCCGCGCTTGGGTGTCGAGGTGGAGAGGTCGAGGCGAATGAGATCGCATGCGTTTCAGGACGCAATTATGGCGAGTTCACGCCCAGATTCGTTCGAGAGAGACTCGCAACAAGGCGGGCGTGATCTCGGGATCTCCCAATGTAGGATATACATTTATCGTAATCTGGTTTCGGCCCGAGATACTCTACATACTTTGAATTAAGAGGAGCAAGTTTCGTCGCGAATTTTTTCCCGCGTCTGACGAAGGCGGCCGAAATAGAACAAGACGACGTTCAGCCTTTTTAGGACGGAGCCGTTGTCTCACCCTCGAGGTAAATTCGAGGGCGAGCCTGACGAGAGGAAGTCCAAGGTAGAGATGATCAAGAATCCCTATTCAGTGTGATGACTTGCTCCTCGATAAATGATAACTGATAACTATGATAAGTACGAAAAAATAGGGAAATCGCAAGCGAGAGCAACGATTGTCCGCCTATCGATGAAGATGAAGTTGAAAACCACCGTGATCATACGTTTGTCCGCGATCATATACCTATCATAGACACGTAGATGGAAGTTCCCTTGTGCGGTCCCTTGTGCAGTAAGAAGTGACAATGCTCCCGGATCCGAATCCGTGAAACTGTCCGGAGTCTTGACGATCCATCTGGAGAAGCATCCCCCCTATATATAAAACGCTATCCCCCCCATATATAAAACGCTAAGTCTGTGTGTCACTCTGTCTGTCTGTAGACAAAAATCCTCACCGATTCCGACAAAAACGTCTGTGAAGCACGGACACCCCCTCCCATTGCTTGAAAGCACATCACCAGCTCGAACCTCATTTCGACACAGAAGTTATGCATCTATTCAAGAGGATCTACTTGATGATCTGGAAATTCCGCCCGATCTGCCGCCGCTACCGTGACGCGGTCGCCCCTTGCGCTCGCGCTAATGCGACGGAGTTCCGTTCCGCCTGCGTTCGTTTCCTGCGCTATAGTAAATTTTCCATTTCTAGCATTCCGGGAATATTCCGAAGAGTTCCTATATAATCCCTATGGAAATGACGGACAACTTCAATTCTGCGCTCCGTCTCCTTTGCCTCCGCGGCCCTTTCCGTTGTGAGTTGTGAGGCGCCTATGCGAATCTACGCAGCCAGATAGGCTCGAGTTCAAGATTTGCTCGATCGATTCTTTGCTCATCTTGGGGGTTCAATTGACCGTTCGGAATAGCGTTCAAAACTTTTCCGGTTGTATAGTAATATATGACCGGGATTATCTACGGCGGACTTTCATGACGAAGATTACGAGCCGACGAGTTTTAGAAACCGTCAGAAGGTGGTCAGTGCCAGAGCCCAACAACGAAATCATTTTTCTCATGGAATTGATCGCATCGCGACAAACCGCTGCAATTCCTGATGGTGGATTTGCCGCTGCCTTCAACCTACGAATTCTCACCCGGGCAATGAGCTCGGGATTCCCGTTTGAGTCCACAATAAGGAGCGCGGCCGGAGGCCGCGTTCCCCAGGGCTTGGTTATATAACTCCATGAGAAAGGTACGAAAGACTCCGCTCTGCCATGGTGCCAAGCCTCCGTTTCGTTGGATATGCTTCCACGTCGGAGACTCCTCCGAGTTGGTCTTGAGACAAGCAACAGGAAAGTCCCGAGTTGATCAGGAGACCCTTCCGGAATTCTCCAGCATTGATAATGACATCCTATGAGTCTCGTCCCTGGTGGCACCGAATGATCTTGAGATGCTGCAACGCGACGTGAGGATATGGTGATAGGACGAATGTAGACGCATCAGCTTGAGGGCTACGACGAACGACGATGAGAGTTGGAGAGTATGTGAGCTGGAAAAAGCTCTCTATGGTCCTAAACGGGCGAGGGGAATCTGAGCCGTGTTGGAAGATATAGATCTCGAGCCATGAAATCCGAACAAATCCGAGAAAAAGGGAGAAGGAGACCAAGGATGTGCTCCGAAGCAACATGTAAGGCTGAGGGGTCAACTTGTAACATGCATACATGCGAGACACATCTTGCTCTATGAATAACACTGACCGTTACCGAATTTGAACTTCATCAACCGCTGTGGTCCCCAATCGTGCACTGATTAGTTCCTGGATACGACGGACTGACATCTGGTCGTAATGGAGACGGGGTCAAATCGAGAATCTTTATGAATATTTTTTTCATGTATGTCGGTTTGTACACATTACTTTTCAAAACTCCAGGGATTTCCCACAAAACTTCGTCTCCAGCTGCGGACAGGTCTATCATGGATATTGTTGTCTGCCGGGATTTTCGAGCCGTCGTCGAGTCCTTGGGCCGCATCAGTGGTTCTAGTGAGAAAGAAAGACGGCGGATATTGGCAAGTCGAAAGGGCACCGGATCATAGAGGGAAAACAGCTTTCCGCATCCCGGACGGCCTACTCTAATTAGAACGAATGCCCTTCGGCTTGGCGAATGCTCCGGCGACGTTCCAGAGGCTGATGGAGAGAGTCATTTGACCCCTCAAGTATCGGATGGCCCTTGTGTATCTAGACGACAAAATAATTTATTCAAAAAATTTTGAGACACATGCGGCCGATCTCAGGAAAGTATTGTCAGCGATTCGAGCCGCTGGGATGAGACTAAAAGCGAAGAAGTGTATGTTCGCCACGCGGAAGGTCACTTTACTGGGTCATAAAGTTGAGCCCGATCCAGAAAAGATTTCCGCCGTCAAAGAGATTTCCGCGCCGACAAACGTCGAGGAAGTAAGGAGTTTTCTCGGACTGGCGTCCTACTACAGGCGCTTCATCAAAAATTTAGCGGCCACAGCTGTACTGCTGTACGAGCTACTGACGACGACAACTTTCGAACGGGGAGGAAACACCAACAAGTCTTCCAACGGATAAAAGACACGATAATAGCGGAACCTGCTCTGAGCCATTACCGAGACGATTTAGAAACCAGATCACAGATGGACGCGAGCGGAACGGGCCTCGGTGCAGTTCTCGTCCAGGTATTGGTGGAGAAAGAGAGAGCGGTCGCCTAATGCGAGTCGGCGTCTCACTAAGGTCGAAACGAACTGTCACTCTTCGGAAACGGAGTGTCTTGCTGTGGTGTGGGCGATTCGAGAGTTTCACCCCCATCTGTGCGGACGGCTCTCCAAGGTGGTTACTGATAGTATTTCGTTGAAGGACCTCCGAAGTAAGGCGAATCTCTGTCCCAAGCTCGTTCGTTGGGCGATGGCCATACAAGATTACGACTCCGAAGTCCTACATCGTCGAGGGCAGGACAATGGTAATGCCGACGCTCTATCAAGGCTCTCTGTTGCCACGCTCAGTGTCGAGCGAGCTCGTCAAGAGCAGCGCCATGACCCGGTCTGCCGAAATCTTCTACGAAGTCCGCCAGAGGGATACACAGTTCGGGACCAGCTCCTCTACCGTGAAGGCCGCCTTTACATACCCGCGGTACTTGTGACGGACACCATCAAGCTATGTCACGAGGACGGCATGTCCGGTCATCCGGGAGTTTGGAAAACGGGCAGACGGCTAAATGAGCGATTCGACGTGGGAAAAGGGGGTTTGGCCAAGGTCCGGAATCATGTCAAAAGCTGTGACATCTGCCAGCATCAGAAGGCAGGACCGGTGAAGGTGGGAACCCTCCAGCCCATCGCGCCTCCCACTCGGCCTTCCGAGGAGGTCGGCTCGGATTTCGCAGAACCTTTCAATCTGCCGGGAGAACGGGCGTGGTATGTCCTGGTGGTCGTCGACTATTGCACGCGATACATTCACCTGTTCGCGACCCGCCGGATCTCGGCAAGATTCGTGGTGCGTTCCCTGTCTGCGCTGACAGCGGTGACTGGAAGAATCGGCTCCGTGGTGACGGACAACGCGACCTGTTTCAGGGGGATCATCTACGCAAATTACCTCCAGACGGCGGGAACGGTGCACATAAGGGCAGCCCTCGGCCATCCCCAGTGCAATGGATTGGTGTGACGGACAGTTCGCGCGGTTAAGGACCGGTTGTCGGCCCTGATTCTAGAACGTCAGTCGTCTATATCCGATCGCCATCCCTATGAGCACGACACGCACTGAATCCTTGCGCAAGACGCCGTTCGAATTGCTCTCTGGGTTCACCGCGGTTTCGCCAGCGGAGCCCCCGGTGCAGGAGTTGCGACGGGAGGCACATGACCGGGGTCAAGATAGCCGCGTACGAACGTATGAAGCTGCTGCGAGAGCAGTTCGGTTGCTCCCAGTTTTAACCGACTTCCCTGAACGGACGTCCATGTCTGAATAAGTTCGACACTGATATCCGGAAACAGGTAAACTTGACTGTGGAAGACGTGGGGTTGCGGGAGATGGGAAGAAGTCTTCCCTGACGAGGTATCGTAACTCCAAGAGGATCAGAGGATCGAGGGAAGTCCGATGCGACAACTCGCGTGGGAGTGCCCTGCTGGCGCTCGCAAGGGCTGGAGCCTTGCAGACAAGGAGCTTCAGGTCTCACTTCACGCCGAACGTGGACAGCTCATGTATGAAATGTGGTGTCTACGAGGAATCGGTCGAACACGTGCTGCACGACTGCGGGGATAGATATGCGGAGGATATCGAAACGGACGAGAAGCTCGGCTTCATAGACGCTCCGGACCCCTCAACTCTCCACAGAAGTAAGAAACTGCTGGAAGAGTGAGAAAGACTCCAAGATCTGCGGTAAATCCGCCTCTGAAGAAAAGAGCACTCTAATTTTGCATATCAATTAGGGGGGATCAATAAATTACCATACCATTACCATGCGTGTCTCGTGAGGGTTCAGGAGGGCATGAAGACCCGCTATGACGCAGCCAGGTTGCTGCCACGCACATGGCCTCTTGGTGCGAGGATGCTGGATAGGCTGAAGAAGGTTCGTCGGGGATTGTCGAAGAAGCTCCATCCCACTTTCGTGGGCCCCTGGACAATCGTCAGGCAGGTCGCGAAGCAGAGCTACGAGCTCCGAGATCCGGGTGGCCATCTCAGGGTTCTGAACGTGAACGACCGTCTGGGACCGACAGCGTGCCCGATTGAAGCGACGCTCGCGCCCTCCATTATATATATAAGGGCGGGGAATAAATCGGGACATCATTCGGGACAACGATTGGCTCCCACCTGAGAAGGAAGGATCTTCGCCCATTCTTATCTTTCATGTAGGCGATACCTTTCACCCAGCTACTCAGTCAGAGACTAGACGCTTTGTCTTCCTAACCCGGAACATCTCGTATTCTTGCTACTTATCTCATCCATTTTATTCTTATTAGCTACTTATTACCCACTCGGGATTGTAATTATAATGAATATCTTTGAGGAACTCTAGCGTTCCCACACCTCCCCCTCTAGCTTGGAATCCTCATCTATTCCTTTTGAGATTTTTTTGACCAGCTCAGCTCGAGCCGCTAGGGCGATCGGACGAGGTGACGGGGCCGCATCGATCTCGACAAACGAGACCAAGCCACCTTCCAGGGACACGGGGGGGAGCTCGGTGTCCCGGTAGCGTACTTACAGGTACGCTTCGGCTAGGTCGATGGTCAAGGAAAAAACACCACCATTCAATTCCGTGAAAATTCTGTCGGTAGTTGGCAAAGGATGGAAGTGGTCCTGAAGTCTTAAGTTCAGCGCCGCGCTGTGATCTGCACAACAGTTTGATGTCGCCTGCCCTCTTCTTTACGACATCGGTGCCGCGAGCTTGAACCGGTGAGATCATCTGGTTGTCGACTAACTAAGCGTTCTAGACTGAAACGTTCCAGTTCAGTCTCGGTAGGCTCGCCTAGGGAACTGGGCAACTCGAGTCGCGTATGCACTCAAGTCGCGCTGAATGAGATGGGACAGCCTGGGCCAAACTCCTCAGAATTTGCACTTTTGAGAGCACATTGGGACAAGCTCTTCGTTTGTCTACCTATATCCAGTCCTGGAGGCACCTAGACGTTCTGAAATACATTCTCTTGCGGCAGGAGAAGCGGAATGAATGCTCCGCGTCGAAAAGGNTAACTTCCCTGAAATATTTGGAAACATCTGCATTTTCGCCTCCGTGCCTTGATGGTTGTTACGGGTGATCCAAATAAGCAGGTCAGTGGGATCTTCGTATCGGATACGATAAGATTGAGCAAGCAACCTCAGAACTCCGCGGCTAACGCCATCCAGAGAGGGAGGATGCATGCTGTAGTCCAGGCAGAGGAAAGCAACTCTCAGTTTGCCCCGAGCATGGAAATCGTGAATCAGATCGCTGTAGTTTTCAATGAGGTTGAAGCAGTGTCTCGCAAGGACAGGATACGGACAATTCTTGAGTCCATGCGTCAGATGACAATTAATGAACTCGACTTGAATGCTATTCTTCTCTACGATCTTTTCGATGGAGTTTATAACAGACGCGACCTTAAGCTCTCTAGTCTCGGTTATTTCGTCCGGCGGTTTGGGGGTTGCATCACGCACTTCATTTGTCTGCAGGGTCTGGGTGGGCCTCTTGCGATTCTGACTCTGCTGTAAAATGAGGATCACCGCTAGACAACTAACCGGGCAGCTGACGAAGCTCTCCCGCCACGAGACTCCTCCGACGTGATCCATCTTCAGGGGCAAGTCCGAACGACTCGAGACCAAACGCTCCCTTCGCGTACTTCAAAGCATGGTATGAGATGGAATGCAATCGGATTGTATGAGTCTAGATCTAAAGCGACGAGTCTTATTATCATGATCCTGGATGGAGCTCTACCATGGAAACCTTGAGATAGACTACGGTAGGTCCGCCACTTCGATCGATAGGTTTGCATTCCTCGCAGACGAGAGTGACTCCAGAAGACGGAGGCGGGCTCAGCGTATGTGAAATGTTTGTGTTTTCCAGCTTGATACGGTCATCATCTTGCGAACCAATCTCTGCGGAGGAGAAGCTTCGATTTTGCTCCTCCATTATTTCATCTCTTTTCGTGTGCATTGAAAGCATTTCTGTACGAGGAAAACACGATGACGGGTCGATAGCTCTTGTGGAGAACGGACTCGCCCGGAGCTCAGTCCAGGATTGAATGTTCTCCGTCCGCCTCCTCGAATCTCTTATGGAACATTCATCGTGTAGGTACATCCGTCGAAGAGTCTGAATCATTTCTGACCCGTCGCCATGCTCCTCCCTCAACGCCGTCTTTGCTTCGGACCGAGGGGCCGCGTGAATGCAGAATTTGGGACGAGGAAAACAGGGGGATGGTGGGAAGGATTCTGTTTCGGAGCTCGGCGGGCAAGGTCAGTATATCCAGAACGTGGAGTTGCTGGATCTCATGTCGATCCATATGCCGACAGGCTAGTCGGAATATCAGCGAGAGCAGCGAGTTTTCCGCGGCGCACTCCGGGGTCAGGTACGTCGCCATAACGACACCCATGAGTCTGTCAAATCCTTTTGTAATATCATACGAAGGCATGTGTAATCGCAGAGCGATTCCCGCTCATATTGTTTCGATCGACGCGTTTTCCTCCGCACCTCAGCGAGACCCTCCTCTTACCGTGCACTATGCAACAGCGTAAGAATGAACCAGACGTCGATAACGTACTCTATAATGAAAGGTGTGGTGTCTTCCGTCTTCCTAGAAAGGCAGTGCGAACGCGTCCCTGATTGAAATCCTACAAGACGTCTCGAACAACATCCGACAGGACCGCGATGTGTCGAGCTCGGAAACGTAAATTGCCGTGCATCCAAGACGACACCTCACATCCTGTTGAGACGGGGACAATTACAATGCAATCGGAATCTTGAATGGGTGAAATAGAGTAGGTCCTCATCGAGAAGGAATTCGGTCACAAGTAAGACGTCTGTGATCGTTTATGGTTCCAACGAGATGGTCATCATCACAAATTGGATGGATTCAAAGGAAAGGCTATCAACGTGGAGAACGTATCTGTCCGTGACTTCGGAGGGAAAATAAATCTCACACCGACTGGCGGAACAGCACACAAAAAGGCCGAGGAATATCCCAAAAATCATCGCTCACAAGAGCTGACTCCTTGGTAAGGAACTGAGGGATACGGGTGCGAGTTCGAGGATGTATTCGTTCCCAAGGAAATCGAAGAGTCGAACTGATAGCAGTCCACGACCAATCAACGATCTCCGCCGATAATACAACTTGCATTGCTGGGTTCTCGAATAAGCCCTTAGATCTCATGATACACGAGACCATCAGTTGAATTGAGAAGTACACACTCCTAAGAACTGTGACTGAGAGTACATTCCACGTCCATACTTACGGTAGTGTCTCCGACACTACCTGCCAGGGGCTTTTTGCTCTCCACATATATGCCTTACCACAGACAGGGTCCTGCCCTTGTGGATTTCAAAATTCATCGGTATCCATGGCGCAGTTTTCACTGGATTGAGAGGCCCAAGGGTCAGCGCCCCAGGTGCTTCCGTTGAATAGAAGCTCTCGTCAACTTCATCGAATTTTTCTTCTCATGCGCGTTGGTGGGTCTTGTATGCTTCAGTTTCTTCTAGGTTGTGTCGCTTCTTAACGTCCTCCGTGAGGGTCGATGCACCCGTCAACAGGTAGGCCAGGCGATTCCTCGTCGTGTGATGAAGCCGGAGGGTTCGCTTGATGAATGTGGCCTTCGTTTTGTCAAGAGCTGTCATATCGTTGGTCGTGAGGAGTGGCCAGACTAGTTTGATTCCGATCTTGGCTACTGGTGCGATCTTGATGTCGAACAGGCGGAGTGCCGTGTTGACCGATAGCATGTGAGGGGATTCTATAGATCGCATGGCCAGGGTCGCTCGGTTGCATCGGTCTTTCACGTGCCCCGTGAACGAGGATCCGCAGTGATGAATCGTGGCCCCGAGGTATTTGAAGCTATTCACGAATTCAAGTCTGTTGCCTCCTATCGTTAGAACATCCTTCACTGATATTCCTCCTCCTTTTCGACATTTCATTGCCTCCGTCTTTTCTGTGTTGACCGCTAGTCCAAGCGTCTGCGACATTGTGTTCAGTCTGCATAGAGCTTCTTGG